TTGGGACAGGGACCGCAGGACTCACAACCTCTTCAAATTACTATCAAAGCCTTTCTAAAGACCTCACTGACAGCCTAGAAGAAATAGCTAACAGCCTTATCACTATCCAAAACCAGCTAGAATCCCTGGCAGCCGTGGTCCTCCAAAACAGAGGGGGATTAGACCTCCTCACAGCAGGAAAAGGAGGCCTATGCCTATTTTTGGAGGAAGCCCGCTGTTTCTACACCAATAAATCAGGCGTTGTAAAGGAAGGAGCAAGAAATCTGACAAACAGGGCCTTGAGAATACACCAACACCTCAGTAATTCATGGGAAAACTGGTTAAGCAACTGGAATTGGATGCCCTGGGTCCTACCTTTCCTAAGCACTCTCCTTCTACTTACCCTTATTCTAACTTTCAGCCCATGTTTAATGCATCTTTTTTCAAAATTTCTTCAGGACCACTTACAAGTCTTCACCAACCAACTATCCATGAGCGACTTCTAACTCGCTCAAATTATCAAAAACTTCGACCCCACACAAACCCCCTTGACCCACATTCCAGCCGTTTCTTATCTCACCCCCATGACACCCCTGTCCCAGAGGGAACAGTTACAGAAGATTGACCTTCAGCCCTCATCCTAAATCAAAAAGGCTGGAATGATCAGGCCCACATGGGGGCTCATGGTAGAAATGGCTCATTATGTTGACTTTGCAAACAGAGTAAAATTACAGTGATCCTTGAGACTGACCAAATTGCCCAAAAGACATTCTGTTTTCTCACTGGCACCTACCCTGTCAAGGCTATGAGACTGCCAGATTCCAAACCTCTGGCTACGTGACCACAGGACTCTATAGCCTAAAAGTTAACGATCCCTTTGGAGAATTTTTCATTGCCGAGGTATAAGAAAGACCCCATCAGAAAGGGAGGACACTGGTTCTCCTTAAGGCCAGTCACTCTCTCATTTCCCTCTAATAAATTTCCCTTTTGCCTGACTGCCCAGCTCACTCTCTTTTTCTCTGCACTTGCCTTACATTTCCCACTTCTGAAAATCCTGTTGACAGAGGAACCTGGCAGACTACAGTCTGTGGAATCACAAAGAGTCAGACACAACTGAATGACCAGCACTTTTTTGTTAGCTACTTTGTCCCTTTGACACATCCCTATCATTGTAGTTTGAGCACTTTCTCAATTTTGAATTCTTCATATGCACCTATGTATTTACTAATTTTCTGGAACCATCCATTTGCCCAAGGATCTCTAGTTTCTTTTATTGGAGATTGATAGTAGAAACCAAGATCTGAACACTAGGTGTGCTCATTACTTCTGAGGTATTGTTTCTAGGCTCTCTTAGCTGGCAGAGAAAGGAAATGTGTGCATGTGTACTGATCTGTGTATATACCCATATCAATACATATATCTGTTTAATGATATATATCTGTATAAAAATAAACATGAGTTCATTAATATCTTCAATTTCCTTTTGAAGAAGGAATTCATAGGACCTGGACTCCATCTTAGGCCTGTTTATGCTGATTATGCTCAGCCACCTCTCCCATGGACTCTGAACTCTGTGTGTAGTGTCTTTGGAAATGACAACAGAAGGATAAGACCCCGTCCAGACAGGGGAATCTTGAAGATCTTATCCAGGTTACTTGTCACCTAAGAGAACACATACAATAATCACCCCTTCCTCCAGACAGGCCATACATTTTTTTGTAAATGTCAGAGTGTTACCTTATGCTTATTGATTATTGGCTAATTGAAAAAGCAAGAGAGTTCCAGAAAAACATCTATTTCTGCTTTATTGACTATGTCAAAGCCTTCGACTGTGTGGATCACAATAAACTGTGGAAAATTCTGAGAGAGATGGGAATACCAGACCACCTGACCTGCCTCTTGAGAAACCTGTATGCAGGTCAGGAAGCAACAGTTAGAACTGGACATGGAACAACAGACTGGTTCCAAATAGGAAAAGGNCAAGGAGATCCAACCAGTCCATCCTAAAGGAGATCAGTCCTGGGTGTTCATTGGAAGGACTGATGCTGAAGCTGAAACTCCAATGCTTTGGCCACCTCATGTGAAGAGTTGACTCATCGGAAAAGAGCCTGATGCTGGGAGGGATTGGGAGCAGGAGGAGAAGGGGACGACAGAGGATGAGATGGCTGGATGGCATCAGCGTCTCGATGGACATGAGTTTGAGTAAACTCCGGGAGTTGGTGATGGACAGGGAGGCCTGGCATGCTGTGATTCATGGGGTCGCAAAGAGTAGGACACGACTGAGTGAC